TTTTTTTTAACTAATTGAGAAGTTGAATGAATTTTAATAGAATTAATCTTAATCTATGGGCAGGCTCTCTGATTCTAAATATGTCATTTCTTAACATATGTACATATTTACAAAAACTTATCTTTGTAGCAAATAATCCGATTCATAAAGTAATTTTATTAAAACAAATGAGAAAGCTTTTCTTAATCTGAAAAAAAACTGCACTTTCAGTGTTAACAGAACAATATGAACAAACATGTTATATTAACTTTAAGGATCTACCTTTAAATTAACAACCCTTAATTTGATTTGCTATCTTTGAAAATTTACTACTTGGGGTCCCAGCTCTATGCAATGTTGTCCTTGACATCCTTGTAATAAAATGTAGGTTTATCTTTACTACATCCATAGTAACAGCACCAGTCTTGGTTGCCTTGACAACTTTGTATTTTGGAATATGCCAAGCCTTGTCTGTGAAAGAAGCCAAAACATTACACAACGTATACATTAAGTACTAATACTGGCATAATTAAATATCACCGTCTAAATAACGCCAATTAACAACTCATAGGTACCAGTCCATTGCTAGTATGGTTTTCAAAATTCTGTTTCTATTTCATTCAATGTTGAGCGTACTGCTGCAGCAGTCCCCAGCCTCACTGACTTGCTCTGGTCCTGCTTTAATAACACCTTCATCCGACTCACTGACTTTATATTTTCTATCGCCAGCCTTAAAACAGAATGGACTCCAGCTCTGGCTGTTGTCTCCACACTGTGATGTATGAGAACTGGGACAAACTAAGAACTCACTGCTCCTGTGACAGCTGTCAATACACTGAGGCAAGTAAGGAGTGCTGCTGGAGATGGTTGTGGTGATGGACAGCACCTCGTGCATGCTGGGATAGCCACTAAGGTCAGTGCCCTCAAAGAAACTGGACAAAGCGAGGTCAGTGTCATTGCCTCCCTCCATCACTGGGCAGCCTGGACCAGAAGTGGCCAAGGAATCGGTTCCCAAACTGTGGACTAGAGATCTGGCAGAGGGGTCAGTATCACATGAAACGGCAGCTGCCACACAGGGTTTAGGACTTTGCTCTCTTGTGATTTCTTTCTCTTGGGATCTGGTCATGACAGCTTTGGTGTCAGATGGAACTTCACTTTCTGTCAATAAGAGACTAGGCTCGACAATGCCTCCACACTGAGGGATGTCCCATTCTTTGCCAGGTGATGATTCCACTGGGTAGGCAGGTACTTTGCTGCCTGGGGAATGGAGGTCGACCTTGGTATCAAGCTCTGGGCCATCCAGGTCATAGCAGCCCTCAATACTGTCATCACTGTAGTATGACTTCTCACTCAGAGAGTCCTCAGATAACACCGACTTGGCCATGAAATCCACACTATTCCTAGACATCAGGTCTCTGTGATCTTCCACTATGGGTGACATCAAGAGCTGAGGAGGGTTCTCTTGCTCCGGTAGCTGGGTGAATACACAGTCCGAATCCAGACTGTCATAAGACATGGACATCTGATCTGAAGACTCGACCCTTGGTGCTGACAGGCAGCTGAGATTCAAACTGTTTGTAACATCTCCACCATTGTCCTGGTTATTGTCCTGTGACTGGCCACTGCTGGAAGAGTAGATGACCTGCCTCTGTGACTGACCACCTGGACTATCCATCCCCCGGCGATCTGGACACACATATATGCTGTGTTGCATTAGTTGTGACATTGTGTTGTTTGTTACATTAGAGTCTTTGGGGGCATTGCTTTCCTTTGGTGACACTGGCAATAATCCAGGTATTTCTGAAGTTGCATTCCGCTGAAATGGTTCATTCTGTGCATTGGGCATAATGCTACTTGACAACCTTGGTGAACTGGTGCACACAAGATGATTGCCATAATCTGATCCCCCATCTGTGGCTACATGAAAGAAGCTCGGTGGAATCCACATTGGTGAATCCCCAACAGGACTATTTGTATATATGCCAGAGTCTGGCCTGTGGAAGCTGGGGCTTTGCTCAGTAGCAGGGTTTTGAAGTGGTAGAGATGTTGGTTTCTGTGCTGTCCTGGTTGCCCAGGGTTCTGCTTCTTTAAAAGAATGATTAGTGGCTGGTGCCCGATGTGACACTGGTGAGGCTGGACTCTTCATAGGGGACGTAGAATCATGCAAGTAGAAAGAATCACTTAGTTTGACCTCTTCCATGTGTGTCTTCATATGCTGTGGGTCTGACTTCTTCAGTGCTTGCTCCTCCACTGGTTCTTCATGCAGAAAGTAGCCATCCTTGGCAGTATCGCCAAAGCCAGAAAAGGGCTGTACTATCACAGGTTCTTGTTTCATGGAGCATTCTGTCTCACGGAGCCAACTGTCAATATCATGAGGATCCCAAGTCTCTTCATGGATATCACTCAGAACTCTGTCAAGATTGGGTTTTCGCTCATTTCTGGAGATGCTGGATGGCAGAGTGAGGCTGTCCACACTAGCTTCAAGGGAATCACACTCAGAGAGGCCACTACCATAATTCCCTTCATCTTCATCTTCTGAATTAAAGGCACTGGCCTTTACGTCTTTCAGCTCCAAGACGATAGGGACCTCAGAACTAGGACTCATCCTCCATGTTGTACAATCTGATGGGAGAGTTTCTGCAAAAGTTGTACATTGGGGTGCAGGTGGTTCCATCTGTGGCAATGCTGTGAGACTAGACTGAGACTGATCACCAATGCTCCTAATGTTCTCAGTTGCTACAACCGCAGTGTCTCTTAAACATGGGAGCACAACAGCAATACATTCTTGGTTTAAATCTGTTTCTTCCACAGATGCAATGTGAATAGGCATATTCATACAGCTCCAGTCTTGGATGGAGTCTCCAGAACTCTCTTGAATCCCAGGTTCGCTGACTACATGGAACAGTCTAATACTTCTGTTTTTGTCTAAATTTACACCTGTATGGATTTGATCACATGCATCTATAGGTGATTCAATGCCATTGAAACCAGAGCCATCAGAGTTTGACTTCACCAGCTGGACATCATTAGAATGAGCTCCTGATGTGGAGTAATTTTCAGTTTCCAAATGGAAACTTGTCAGTTTCTCACAAAGTTCTGATATCATGAAATCTCTTACTTCTTCTTCTTCTTGATGATCATTAACAGTTGGGACTTCAATAAGTTTCTCAATATTGTCATTACAATCTAGCAGCAGCTGAGGCCCATTAAAACAGACTGCATAGTCAGACCACTGTCCAGTAACATCAGGTTGTGAGGCTAACCTGAACATTTTTGTGTCACACTCAAACTCATGTAATTCTTCACAACTGGGCACTTCATCTGTAGTTCCTACCACAGTATCATGATCAGCACTCACTGATAATGGTTGTCTTGAACTTACAAGAGACATCGGAAGAAATGGGGCATCTAGCCCTGACAAGGATTCTGGCTGTTGCTCTGTGATGTCAATCAATTCTTCACAGTCAATTTTTTCACAAGAATGACACATGCATTCCCTGGAATCAGTCATTGACACTTCTGGACTAGTTTGAAGAATGTTGTTGCCATCTTCAAAACAAGGGATTAAGTAATCATCGCCACCAGGTGATTTTTCATACTGAGATGGGTCTTTGCTACTGTCAGAAAACTTTCTGTCAACTAGAGGGTTGTCAACCAAAGCTGTGTTCCCCACTCCACTATCGATATTGACACTTGGTGTCTGCACACATAACTCTTTCACAAAAGGCACCATTTCAACACAGAACACACGGCTCTGCCCTGTTCCTTTATCAAAAATCTGCTGGGATAAGGCACCTGCATCCTCATCAAAATCATCATGTAAAGATGCACTGAAACCTTCCTTGCCTCCAGCCTTCTTTGGAAAATGTTTCCTGAATTTTCTTTTCATACTCAGCACCCTTGCCCTTCTGTCCATATTTGGCATTGTACCTTCAGCAGGACGATCAGTTGACCGCTCAGTGTAATCAATCAAACAGTCCTTGGACAGTATCTGGAAGTCAGTGACCTGAAAAGAAAAATTATTATTAATATATAATCTCAACAAATGTTATAACCTAATATTTGTAATAATGCAGATAACATAACTGAGCACAAGCTAAAAGCTTCATAAATGATACTGCAATGCATATTTTTCAGCACACTGTCAGCACAATTAGTAATGCAAAATGCTTCAAATAAGATGAAGAAAACTTACATCTTTTTAAGTCTATAATCACAATGCTTTTCCTTTTAATATTCACAAAAATTGGTGCAGTGTTTCCGTCTATAATCACAATGCTTTTCCTTTTAATATTCACAAAAATTGGTGCAGTGAGGAAACAGTCTAAAACAGGGGGTGGGATAACAGTTACAAGAGTTTGATTTTTTAAGGCATTTTGTTAAGCCAAAAAGGGAAAATAAGATACTTTTTGCAAACTGGGAGATGAAATATAAGATTAAACAAGCTGAATGGGATTTAAGAAGTGCCTGTGGTGATTGAGCATTATCACTTCAATCCTAACATTTGTAAGGTTTGCAAAGTAGCAAATAATGCACCTCAAAATAATATCATGGTCCTTTTCTAGTTCCCTTAATTTTTTGGTATATTGTAATTCATATACAAAAATAAATGAATAAAATGATAATAATAATGATGATGCAGTCCAAAATCATAAAAAGCAGCAGAGCATCTCATGGCATCAAAAATACTAAAACAAACTTCTCTTTAAAAAAAAACTCTTTTAAACATCAGGCTTCATCTAAAGGCAAAACTCTCCCCAACTGTCAAGCATGTGGAGAAAAGGTTTCAGCCAAAATCAACAATGACATGCTTTGAGAAGCAGTTACATCCAACACAAACCCCTCTTCCCCATGCACTGTTAGTAAGAACAAAGAAAGGCATGCACTCACTTGCCCCAGCTTGGGGTACCTGTTTCCTGTGCAGGGGGTCCCTTGCCTTTCTCCCGGCCACCCTGCCAGTCCTCACTGCAAAGCCACGCTTGATCAACTCCTCACCTATATCTATATCCTACAAGATGGGAACAAATAAGCATTTTGATTAATCAAGTTGTAGTACAAATTAAAAATGAAAATTTAATATCATATGGGCCACTCACATACAGTAGATGGTAAAAATTCAAAATTCTGGAGTCTTCATAAGGACACTGAACTCACAGCCACTGTTGTCATGTGACAGACAGCAGTTTAAGGAATGTAGATAAAAATGGCAGAGCTCAAATCATTTACCATATCATGTGAGTGTTCAGCATGAGATTTTTATCTTCATTCTTTACTTGATCATTAATCAGTACATTTAAGGGCCATGTTTAAAAGTAAAACTGCTGCTGCAATAAAACTGGGTCTGCCAGTATCGATACCTGTTCTGAGTTAGTATCCACCAACTCCAGACTTGGAATAGAGGTCCCAGTGTCCGTTGGCAACAGTTCTGTGGCTCTAGCATTGAGCACTTTCCACTGGGCACAGTAGGTCAGGGTTTCAAAGGCATCCACTGCCTGGTCAGACCACCTTGTTTGGCCACTGTCATCTACAGTTATAGAACTTCAACTTTAAAGGCATGCACAAGACTTTTACATTGCAAATAAATAAATAAAAGTCATGAAAATCTCATCAATTTTTCCATACAATATGCACAGGTTTTTAAAAAAACCTTAAGTATCAAGTTTGTATTTGTTGCTAACTTCTTATTAAAATCTATTCAAGCCACTGGTTATAAACAAAAACCTGATTTTTTTCTAAAAATTGATCAGTAAATCATTATATTTGGCTAAAACAAAAATTTTAATTAAAATCATGATGCTGTAACTGTCAAAATATGGATTTTTTTTATTTTTTCATATCTACACTGAAAATATTCATCATTAGTAATATATATTTCACAAAAGCAAGTTTATAACAAAAAATTCAGGTAAAACAATAAGACAAATGAGTGGCACAGTTAATGCCAATATACAGGTAAGGGCAATAGCTTATTTTTTAACATCTTTTACCACTACAGAAAATGAACTTTTAAAGTGAGATAAGGGGAAAATAAGGATCAAAATGTTATTCCCAATGCCTGACAATAAACTACACAATTGCCCTACCTTGTGCAGGTTCCACACTGGCTAAACTACACTCTACTGCTTGAAACGGTAGTTGTAGGAAGTCGGCTCTAAAAATAGATGATGGTTTTTCTCTCATCAAGAGGGCTATATATGATTAATCACCTCCTGTTGGAAATGTCAGATGTCTGATGAGTTCAGTGGACAGGTGGAATCTCAACAGGTGAGGCAAGGGCCTCAGTTCAACTGAAATTTCCACTTATCATAATGTTGTTGGTGAAAACGTAAATCATTTCCTAAGCTACTCGATGTTTTTTTTATCCATGAGGCATGACGTTTTGCACATCATAAATACATGTGCAGTCATAATAGAAACAATCAATTTTTATACAGGAGACAATGACAAACCTTTTTCAACACAAATTTGTTCTTTGATGTAATTTTGTGCCTTTTTTCAATATATCAAAACCAATAGTCTAAAATAATTATTTTGAAAGCTGTTTTAATTTTGTGAATTAATGATATTCCATTTGGGCTGTACTTGATTTAAATCATCCCAGGACACTCATTTCAAACATGAAACATCATGAAACTACACTTACATATATTTGACCTAAACATGAAACTATATTTATATATATTTGACCACAACAAAGAAATATTTACAAAATATTCAAAACAAAAATTAAAAAAAAAGGTTGTAAACAGAAGAATACAAAGCAAAATTACACAGCAATGCACTTACCGAAGTTTTCTCAGTTTTTCAACTGCCACATATATGCTGTCACCAAAATCTACAAAATAGACATCGTAGAGGCCTCCATCCATCTGTTGTACCACTCTTGCTCTATACCAGTTGTTGTCGTGTTCAAATGGAGCAGCCACCAGGTCTCCTAGCTGGACTGACATGCAGGTGCTGGTCTGAAGTGACAGGTATGGAAAAATTTATGATAAAAATCATCTGATATTGATAAACATGTCCAAATGCCAGCCACTACTTGATATAAGTGTAATTCAAACTGACTTTTCTACTGATAACATAGAAATCAGTTTCAAGTCCCACTCTTTTTAATATTTTTTTTTTTCATACCCAGTTTGTAAATTAGGGTAGATCTTGAATTAAATTAGATCTTGTGTTACCTGAAGGTACTCTTCATCCCTGTAGTAAGCTGTCATGTCCTGTATAAGCCTGTCCAGCTGTGTGGACTGGGAAGAGATCATCTGGACCCAGAAATGTCCTGGATTCTCCACAGCGGACACATACACCTCCAGGTAGTGGTGGTGGTCCGGCCATTCTGTCACTGTGTACGGCAGGGAGGGGGCACACCATTCCAGTGCTGGAAAGTAAAACAGGGAAATACGTAGGTTTTTTTCATTTTCTTGAGTAATAAGGCTTTTAAAACAGATTAGTTGTTTGCGATCAAATTTGTGATCGTGAACGCAAAATTAAAGACTAAAACGGCTATATCATGTTTTAAAAAGTCGGTCATGTTATCATGTAATAGAGATTATCAGAAAGAAAATTTGAAGGACAATTACAAGGAGAATATATTATAATGGATATCAGACTAACTCCCATCATAAAATGACTATCCAAATAATCTAGGTATTGAAATGGCTGAAAACCAACAGGGTTTCTTTTCTAGAATGGCCACTATACTGAGACGCCCTGTAGACCTGGTAAACCTTGATAATCTATCTCATTTTCTGCTGACTTGGGTCATTCATGTTCCTGATCTAGTGAATACAGCATTGCCTAGACAAACCATATTCTTAATACAATCCGATAATTTGGTGGTAATTATGAAATAGTTTATCTTTATAACTGTAAGGTCAGTTTATCAAATACCCTCTCCCAAACTCATTATTTAGACAACGATTGGCAGAAATCTATTTGGGGCTTACATTTATCTGAACCTGGCGGCCTCCTAGAGGGAAGTACTTGGTTTTGTCTGTCCATTTTCTGGCCCTGGGCTTGGTGTTCATGGCCCCGCTGCTGTGTCCGATGTGATGCATTCACAGCTAGTTGGGCTTGAAATCTGTCTTCTTCTGAAATCTTCTCTTGTATCAAGCTCTTCAAAAACACGTCAACGTTTCAAACAATAGCAACAGTGCCTTCAATTCGAATGAATAAATTATTTTCTAAAATGATTTTTCAACCCATTCATTTACATCACGTCAGTCATGTGACTGTAATTTTTTTTTTTGCCTTTTTTTTCAATTGTTTTGATCTTATAGTCAATTAGGACTTGGCGCATTTTCAAGTCTGTGAATATATTCCGCATGCTGTGGTTATTTGTCAGTTGTAGCATGAGAATGAGATAGAAATAAAGTTGAGTGACCATTAAATATTGCACCTGAATTTATCTAAGGATGAAGTTTTTTATTTGAAAATATCAGAAATATTAAAATTAATTGTTAGGGTCATATGAAAGGCCAAAGTAACAGGCAGTAGATACATCTTTGCAAAGATATTGTGAGGTCATTGCTCAAAAATCTAACCTTAACACAGAAATCAATTCAGTTCTAGGAGGCAGTAACATATGATTTAAATGATTTATTTTACAGCCAATGTTATAATCAACAATAAAACATGAAGCCTGAAATCCAAAACCAACCTTGGCATATTTTATCTGTTCTAAACTGCCTTTGATAGTGATCAGTCTCACTTCACTTTGATCTCTTGAGCTCTCTCTTTCAACATCAATTTTGGCCTTGGATGTTCTGGAAATTCCTCTGACAGTCTCTCCTCTCCTGCCTATAAAAAAATTAGAAGAATTATAAGGCTTAAGCCCTTTTCACATCCTGCAGTATACTTAGAGATACAGTCTGTATCAGTTCACTTTGAGAGATCAACTAAACTTTGATAGCCTGGCTATTACACTATATGAACACAACAGAGTCACTTAAACAAACCTTTCATACTGGCAGTGGATAACTGATTAACTAAAAAGTAGCAAATTTGTACAGAACTTGTGAAAGGTAGTTCAACCCCCTGTATCATAATTTTCATGTCAGGACCCTTCAAAATACCACCAATACAAATTGTATTGCTAATTACATACACTGTGGCACTCGAAAAGAGCCTTACATGTGATTATGTTTATAAATACTAAACAGTATACAACATGAATGAATGAGGTCATAACTGTCATTCTATGTAGAAGGCATGAAGAAAACTACAGGGCCAAAAGAGCCTCCAAGAAGGCCATTAAAAAACTTAAAAAATATAAGGAGTCTCAGATTTAATTGAAATTATAAACACCACCTTCCCTTCTGAATAAAACCTTCTGAATAAAACTATCTAGAATTTTCCATCAAAGATATCTTGACCACGGACTAAAAGACAAACAAAAACTGATGAAAACACACACTCCTTGGTAAAGATACAAAGAAGATTGAGACAGGTGGACAGGCTTTAGAAAACAAACCTGAGGTTTTACAATGCTGTCTATGCTGCAGCACACTTACCAATGATCCTCCCTACTGCTTTCTGAGGAACATACATTTCCTCCACTAACTGCACTGGCTGGGCAGCAATCAGTTTCCTTATCATGAGCTCAGCCAGCTGCGCATTCTCTGGGCTTCCTCGGACAATAGCAATGCGCTCAGCATTCTCTGTTGGACCAACATCATCCTTGAAGTTAATCCTTGTGCCACTCTTCTCCTGAACCTTAAAGAAAAAGGAGAATATATTCTCTAAATCTGAATTTGTATTTCACCTGAAATAAATACTTAGGTAAGTATTTTTTTTCCTGCAACTAAGCATGACTCTCATGCTCATATCCCAAAGTATCATGTCATCAAACAGTAAAACTTCTTTAGATGTTAATGTCATTTCACCATAATTCTTATTGTCATTTGTTTCACATCCTTGACATTATAACAAGCTAAACCTTTAAATCTCTAGTCTTCAACATCTCTGACATCATGTAATTATAAGGAACAATTTACCACACATACTAGCTGCAATCTAACAGATATCAGGTCACACCACCACAAAATATTACCTCTTTAATCTGAGCCCCTTGCCTGCCTATGACAGCGGCCACTGCCTCCCTGGGGACCTTGACTTCAATCACAGTCTGTCTGGAAGTCACTATTTGCTCCTGCTCAAGAGTGTCCTCATCTAAAATACAAAAGAGAAATAGACATAAAAATTTTTACAAAAAATGAAGTAATATTCAAAGCTCATAATATATGCAACTTATTGTTGCAGCGATACCAATGGCATAAAATCATCTACCTGATTTTTCATTAATGAAAAGTGCTTATTTAATGATCCTATTCCTTAGTTAAAGTGGCAGAGAAGATATCATTACGACTTTCCTTAAGTTTGTAAAAAAATGCATGATCTCAGATAAACACTATAAAGGAAAATACTGACTCAAAACAGCATGCAAACCTTACAATAAAGAGAATCAAATTTCATGGACCATTAATATCAGAGAACTGGGGGGTTTTAAATTGTATAGTAGGGAAGAAGCAAAGGGTTCCTCACCTTCTTCCCCCCTCTTGAGCAGCATATAGAGTAGCAGACCAGTGACTGGTACAGCTACCAGCAATGCCAGCTTCTGTACGGATGGCCACTGGAACATTATCATAGCTCAGATGACATCTGTTAAATACAGGGACCAAACTGTTGCAGCATTATTCTGGAAGAAACAGAATAAAATCAATGTTAATTATCTTATGGTATTTCTCTGTAGTGGTTTACTTCCCTATGTAGTTAGCTAGATAATTATTATGCGAAAAAGTGTTGTACCATTAATTATTAATATTTCTTGCAACAAATTAAGGAACTGGTTCTTTCTTGTTATAATCACAAATCTATCCCGTGTGCCAGCTCCATTAAGCTGAGTTAATATATTACATAATCAAGCTGGCTGTTCCCACATGATATAAAAAAAATAGAATTGAGCAGTCATGTTCTCTTTGCCCAATAAATCACAAATATCTGTAGTAACTGATATGTCTCAAACTTGAAATTATTGTAACTGAAACATTTCCATTATAACTTTATGGAATTTCTGGTTAAAATATGCTATTGCATTGCCTCTAGTATATTTAATTCTTGATCCAGCAGCCCTTGAAAGACTCCAGTGGCGCTTATTGTCCAAAAAAATAATGCTGGAATGACATATTTCTGGATTTCCACAGCAATCTCTTGATGATACTGATAAATTGCTCTTATTCAGCATTTTTTTGCTACTACTCTCAGTCTCTTTTCAAATAATTTTGATCATACATTACTTATACAGTATGCCTACCAGTACAGTTTCAGAATCCTAAATAATCTAAAGAACAATCTAATGTCAAAATAACTTCCACATCTAAATCTTAACAACCTGATAATCTATGAACTAATTAACTGCAGATATCTATCATTTTTACCCAGTTTGTTTGATATATTCCCATGTCCGCAGAGTTACTTCAAACCATGAAACACCAGTTATGAACCCCCAAGTTATATCATACAGCTATATATAGCCTACCTTATACTGTACCTCATGTAAGTATGCATCGTATAGGTCTGCCAGCATGACTCAGGATGTTTACAGTAGATCATATATTTTTAGTCTCTGATTTTGATTCCATTCAGGTAAGTACTTTGTATTAGAATAAAAAAATGTCTATCTAAGCTGCTTGACCAGAGACAAGTGGTATAGGGACTGTGTGTGTGTATGTGTGTATGTGTATGTGTGCGCACGCACGCGTGCATGTTGGGAGGGGGTTAGAGTGCCATTTCTGCCATTTTTATGGCATAATGATCTATATTACTTCAAGCCAAATGTCACAGGTTAACATCTCAGTGGCACTCTGCGTGTGTACAGTTTATATGTCTCAGGTATGCACAAAGGTATTTGTTCAAGTAATCATACAAAAACAGATACCACAACTTCATCAAACTGACTAAAAAAAAACGGTCATCACCTAAACTTAAATAACTTTTGAAATAAATAATCAATTCCTTTTATTTTTCAGATTTATCAAGAAAAATTAATGTTCTAAGAGTCTACCAAATTCGACCTTCGAGATGCTATGGACTACTGAGAAAAAGACATTTATAGTTGAGGCAAATTTTCGGTTGAAGTCTATCCATGCAGCTCAATTGCAATTCAAAGAACGGTTCAGATGTCGAGAATTTCCTGTCCACTCAATGATCTACAGATGGGTCAACAAGTTCAGAACCCATGGGACTGTGCATATCCTCAACTGTAAAGACACTAACAGACAATCACACTCTGGACGACCAGAATCATCAAGGACACCACACAACATTGCTGCAGTCAGAGACTCTGTCGTCCGCAGCCCAAGCAAGTCTGTGTGACGGGGAGCTCATTTGGAGCACATTTTGGAGCGCCAGTGAAACGAGGAGTTTTTGTTGTATAGACTTGAAACTTGGAGATGTCTGCTACAAAGGCTTGACCTAACGTAACTAAAGTTTTGTGTCGATCTAAATAAAACTTTGGAAGTTATTCGTTTTTGGTGATGACCATTTTTTTTTTGTGTCACCCTGTAACTGAAAAGTTTTAAGTTGTTGCCACCATGACAATGAATCAAGTTCTAAGCCCACCTAGAAATTGTCTTACAAAATACAATTTTATTCTATGGCAAAACATGATGGGCTTGCTTTGAGTCATTTACTAAAGAAAGACATGTAATTCGATAGAGTTAATTTACATATGCTATATTGTATAAATCAGTGACTGGATTTTCAAAAAAAGAATGTGACTTATCTTAATCCATCTGGTGATCCATTAGTGATCAGCAGATGATCTCAGAAGAAGAAATGATTATACTTTATCGAGCTAGGCAATGCTGTAACCACAAGTATGAGATTTTTCAAAATTGTATATCAGTTGGCAACAAAAGGCTAATACTTTTCAGCTGTGTGTGACAATGACCATGAACCTCAAAGGGCAGAAGGTATAAAATGAATGTTTAAGCAATGTTTTCCATGTTTCATGGTATACAAATCTTTCTTTGGAGCTTATACAAAACAAAAACTCCTTTTATTAATTGAATGCTATGAGTGAAACCTTGTCAACTTTTTTTGATGCACTTGAAAAATCTGCTGAGATAATGCTGTTAGTGGCCAGTTATTAATAGGTACCCATTTGCCTGCTCTAACATAGCTATGTATAGCTATACTTCAGTGACTGAGTTCATTATTGGCATTCAGTGATTTAAAGAAGTGGAGAAACTGCCTGTTAACATTACCACCGTGTTGTTAAACAAAGATCCACGCGCTGCACAACACAGAAGAAAGGGGCTGAGAAGTTGAAAAGTTTGAGATGTTTTGACATAACTTTTGACAGCCAACCCCCCCCCCCCCCACCCACCCACCCACCCAGAAGAAGGCAACATCTAGGGGCACCATTTGAGTAGTTTCAATATCTTCTTCGCCATTAAACACCATTTGAATTTAGTGCATCTTTAATAAATCTACCAGTATTAGAATATACGTGTACATATATACTACATAATATAGTGACATGCTTTCTGTGAATGTGTTGATGGAAGTTGGAAGGCCATGGGACGTGGATTCATATAATTTCTTTGGGAACTAACGGCACTTGCATCCAAGAATCCAACGGTGCTCGGATTAACCGGTTCCTTAATGTACCCATCGGTAACGGGAGTATCGTGATATCCAATCACTATCAGTACAAAAATACTATCAGCATGCATGAATCTCTCTAGCACTTACCTCACCTTGCTTCCTTTTCTGATCTTCCTGTCAATAAGAGTGCATACTTGAAAGCGCGGGAAAGTATCGCGAGTTTGGAAAAGGACGAATAAATTTGTTATGTTGGGGTTTTCGTATGAATTTATATATTTAACTGCTGATATTAAATTCATGAGCTATGGACAGTGTGCACGTGATGTCAGCTTTTGACCATTGCACACGTAGCCAGCAGGTACTGAATACCCAATTGATTGGAAAGGAGCGAGGCTATGGCAGTCGCTTTGTAAAAAAATAAACTTTCACTTCTTGTAAAATTCAATGCTCAGTTCATTGGCGGAGGCAGGGAAGGATATGCCTGTGCCCCTCTTTACAGTGGCGGATTTAGGGGGGTGAGGGGGGGCTAACTCCTCTTCGATTTCTGAAAAAAAAGGTCCCCTCTTAATTGAATTTAGAATTTTGACAAGCTGAATCATAGTTCTAAACCGTACCAAATAGCACCGTTCACCCTCTAAATTAGTCTAAAATAAGAAAGAATTTCGGGGCCCTTCAGCGGGCCCCGAACCCCACGCTAAGGGGAGGGAGTGACTTCGCATCCGCGGACCCCCCCCCCCCCCCTTCAAAAAATCCTGAATCCGCCCCCGTGAAGACAAGATGCTTTTTTTGCTTAAAATTAATATTATTAAGTAATTAAACTATATACTAGTAATTGATTTACAGTACATTTTCTATTTCAAATGTTAAAATTTTGATAGTTGCCAGCGGCGGATTTAGAGGGGGGTCAGGGGGGTCCTGACTCACCCCCCATTCGATTTCTGAAAAAAAATCACACCACTGGTCCCCGCTTGCAATTATAATTTTGACTAGCTGAATCATAGTTCTAAACCGTACCAAATGGCACCGTTCGCCTTCTAAACTACCAATTTTTTCGGGGTCTGTAAAGGGATAACAACTGCGTATGATATCCATATTTCACAAAAAATACATTGTAAACAACTCATAGAAACATAATAAATTCTATTTTACCACTAAAACGGCGGTTAAAGCAGTTATTCTGGAATTTGTGGTTGCCACATCATGTGACCCCCATAGATCTTAAGAGAATATTACAAAAAAATCATACGTTTTAGAAAAAAAAACAGGGACTTACTTTGAATTTTGGAATGGATTCATTAACCATTAGTAAGTATGGGAAATTGTTGTTCATCCCAGGAAAATTCATTTCCAAAATGAACAGTTGTTATCCCACGAACTCCAGTCGCCAAAGGGGGCCGGGGGGGGGGGGGGAGTCGGCTTCGCATCTGCGGACCCCCCTTCAAATAATGCTGGATCGGCCCCTGGTTTCTACAATATTGTATACTTCAAATCCATGGTCATGTGTTTCCCAAATTTTTCAATGGATTTGAGGCTGTAGATGGGCGTAAACCTTGGCAAAGAATCCAGCTGTATGGTCCTACAGGCACTGGCAATTGTAGACACGCTCAGGCAGAGTCATCAGAAATCAGGTCTAGCTTCTGCAGTGTCTCAAGCTCAGATCTAATTTCAAGTTTGGTTGGAGAGAGTGGAAAGTTGATCAAAGAACTGTTTCAGCATGCTACAAGCCAGGAAGGAAGATCGGTCGTGTTTATTGATGAAATTGACAGCGTGTGTCAAAAGGACGGGCACACACGTCGAGTGAAAAACGAACTTTTGAATCAGATGGAGGGAGCAGACAACTCTGGAAGTTCTGAAAAAATATTCCCTCTGTGTGCAACATACAGCCCCTGGGAACTGGATCCTGCATTCCTGAGATATCAGAAATTAACGCATCTATATCCCCCTACCTGATCTACAGTGCCGCCGGAATCTCCCCTTACTTACCCTCCGGGTCGCTGCGGGTTGTACGGACGGCCTGGCTCGGTAACTATGGAAATAACATTGTCATCCATACGCTGTTTGGTTTCTGTTAACAATAGTTCCATACCCTGCCCGTCGGGCAATTATCGTGACAAACTTTCTGCTAACAAAAGAGCCTAACCCTAGCTTGCTGAGATAAAGATCGAAGGTGAGCGTGGTCGCAATTAANTCGGACCAATGAACCTTCGGACCAATGAACCTTCGGACTATCGAGACGCCCCCCGGGAAAGTAGCGAGGGTTTTGAAAAGGACGAATAAATTTGTTATGTTGGGGGTTTCGTGTATGAATTTATATATTTAACTTCTGGTATTAAATTCTCGAGCTATGGACAGTGTGCACGTGATGTCAGCTTTTGACCAGCGCACACGTAGCCAGCAGGTACTGAGTACCCAATTATTGATTGGGAAGGAGCGAGGCTAGCAGTCGCTTTGTAAAAAAATTAACTTTCACTTCTTGTAAAATTCAATGGTCAGTTCAGTGGCGGATTCAGGGAAGGATATGCCGGTGCCCCTCTTTACAGTGGCGGATTTAGGGGGGTGAGGGGGGCTAACTCCCCTCTCTTCGATTTCTGAAAAAAAGGTCCCCTCTTAATTGAATTTAGAATTTTGACAAGCTGAATCATAGTTCTAAACCGTACCAAATAGCACCGTTCACCCTCTAAATTAGTCTAAAACAAGAAAAAATTCGGGGCCCTTCAGCGGGCCCCGAACCCCACGCTAAGGGGAGGGAGTGACTTCGCATCCGCGGACCCCCGCCCCCACCCCTTCAAAAAATTCTGAATCCGCCCCCTGAAGGCAATTTTCTTTTTTACCAGTCTTTTTTAATAGTGACTTTCCTTTTTTTTTTAGAAAGGAAGATGTATTTATTCCTTTGGTCTCAACTAGATATGCATTGACATAAATTTTTTATACAAAGGAGTGCTTTTTTCCTTATATTTGGTACCTTAAATTATATATTGTACAGACGGAAATCAGGAGAAACTCTTTTTGGATGCAGTCCATTTACACATAATTAAAGATCGATTTTTTACATACCATTTGCACTACAAATACATGTATGAAGATGATGCAATTCATCATCGATGAAGCAAATGATATTTTTTAGATTTGATTTAACTAGAAATGTGAAGTTTGTTGATATAACTAACAATATCTGTATTTAGAATATTTCCATTTAATATCAGTTTTGACAAGTGATGACCTGTGAATTTTCTTACGTGTTATGAATTATCCTGTACTAAAGATTGCAGGCGATTTCAAGTATTTACTTGTTAACAAAGCCATTTGAATCGATACCATCTATTTGATCTTTATGAATGTGTAAACAGCATAGGGCTTATAAGTCTCTTCTCGTACATGTACATCGTCCACTTTGTATGTTTTTGCTGGCTGCAGTGGCATTTGTAGCAGATGTGACATTAGCAGGCTAATGGATTTGCTCTAATAGTGGGAGGGGGCACAAAAAAGAAACATTTTAAAAACATACAAAGATAATTTTACTACAATGTGTAAGGCACAGGGATAAAAACAGCATCCTTCAGTCTTGCTTCAATCAAAGATTTACTTTTTTGTGTGTGTAAGGGGGGGGGGGGGTAAACCTAGTTTGCCTATTACTCACAATGAATACAAACTTGACAATATGACACTAGAAAGATTTATTCTTTATTTCTATTTAAACATTATGAAAATCAAATACAGAATTTGCCAAGTTTAACCAAAACTGTGAACCCATCTTATTAATTGTTTTTCAAATGCTTAAAGGGATAATAACTCTTCGTATGAAATCTGTATTTCACAATAAAAACATTGTGAGTGACTCATAAAAATATAATATATTCTGTTTTCCCACAAAAACGGCTGTTATAGTTATTATTCTGATATCTGAGCTTGTCTTTAGACCACGTGACCTCCATTGATGGCTATACTCTGTTAAAATCTCTTAAGAGATTTTAACAAAAAACCAAACTTTTTAGAAAAAAAACCAGGGACTAACTTTGAATGTAAAAATGAATTCATTAACCACTGGTAAGTATGGGAAAATTGTTGTTTACTCCAGGAAAATTCATTTTTTGGCTGAAACGAAGAGTTATTATCACTTTAAATTGGAGATTGATAAAGATCGTCTAATTAATATGTAATTAATACCATTCAATAACTTCATTTATGATTTAATTTTACATGATATCAGAAATTTCTTTCAACTTAAAATGCACTCTGGGAAAAACGAATTCTATCATAAATTTCTCCAGGAAAACTGTCCACCACTGTAAAAAAAAATGTTATAACAATTAATACACAGTTAAACATCAATACTTTCATTTCATTGCTCTTAACATCAAATGTGAAGCAACAAGTAAGCAAGCTTGCTTTGAAATCGTTAAGATCATTGGTATAATCTCAAGTAACTGTCCACATCCGACTTAAAGTTCATTTCTGATCTAAAGAAGAAAAGGCGTCATGAAGGGTCATTCATCAACAACACTTGAGAAAATCGTAAAAACAGTGACATGCAGCCATCTCTCGACGAATGACTGTGTGCACCCAGCAATTTTCAGGAGGAAAAAGATGTTAGTAAGGGTTACGGAAGGACTAAGATAATGATTTTCTCAAATGCCATGCTAAGAATTCCCCTGCCACCAGAGGCAAAAAATTTATAAATATTTTAATATATAAAAATATCTTAATATATTAAAATTCCATATAATTGACAGACACGTGGACAATCATAACTGTAGGCAATACCAATGTTTCTTATGAGCAATTAACCCTGCAGGTTTCTCATGTCGACCCAAGATCCATATCTAGTGCAGCTTATGACGTCACCCGTAAGATGACATACGTGTAAATGTTAATCAATTTAGTCACTGAACAATGAAGATTTATCTGTTACCCAAAAGAATGTACGTTATGCAGTAAATAAGGAATTTTGGGCGAAGGGTGACAATATCCTTAAGCAATTAAATATATAATAAAATAAATATATACATATGAAATGAGGATTACCCCACTTAAGTTAGCTTTTAAATAAGATATCAAACTATATATCTAATTTATCTCAAAGAAATCACATCTACCAAACTTTTTTGAAGTAGGCCTATACCATAAACAAAATAAAATATCAGGCATTTGCAATTATTTGTGAAAACTAT